ACACACACACACACACACACACACACACACATATATATCATCGCGAAAATAGTCAAAACGGATTCAGGGGACCTCAAAACGTAAAAATCCATGGAAAACTCGAGGTCGAACAAAATCATGATTCCTATACTTTCCTTATATCGGTATACAGATAGGAAAGTAAAAACAACTGTTAATTATAATCCAACAGTGAATGGTCGAGTAGGGAATCATACCTATTCATTAAAATTATTAATATACAATTCATTAAATTTAATAAAAATCCTGTTACCGACGAGATTCGAACCTGAGAGCGTTCGATCTTTGTAAAGTTTGTCAGATGGGTAATGGGTATGTAAGTTTGTTTGACATAATACGTTTTTAAAATATTTCTAAGGAATTAAAATGTACTTTTATTGCTCCCCAAATAAAAATACATGATCGTAAGTGACTTTCAACTAATGAGTAATCATAGTATATTACGTAACAAGAGTGCAACGGCGAGTGCGTAAATTTCACGAGTGCGTAATGGGCTTACAACTCGTGTTTCGTACTATACTTTTTCTACGTCCACTTAAAAATTCTCAAAAAAGGATTTAACATTATGCTTGTGACGCCAATCAAAAAATTTTCGATAGGTAATTTCGTACCTTTCTTTGGATTTTAGCGGTAACAAGTTATGTGTGGCAGCTTGAGCTTTTTCTATAATCTCCGGTGGATTGTTCATAATTTCATCACTTTCACTGCTAACAAACATATTCGTAGGTAAAGTTGAGATAATGTTCAGAAATTAAAGGTATAGTAATTTGAGGACAGTAAGTTTAAAAAAGAAATTGTTTATTGGATTTTTTATATGCTTTTTAATAATATAACAAATTATATTGGATATAGTCATAGGATATAAAATTAATACAGATAATTACATGGTTTAAGAAGAAAAAATCCATCAGTTAAAATAATCCACCCATCTCTAAAAATTAATTTAATTTTTAATAAAATTTGTCGATACGGAGAACATAATTGTAGGTAATAAAATAATTTTAAAAGGCTAATTTTGAATTAATTATAAAAGGAAAATGGTTGGGAATTGTCACCTAGGAAATGGAAGTAAAAATACGGCTTTTGAAAAGTTTAATGAAATTCTAATTACTACTTTTCAATTCACTGTTGCTATAGAACTCATAATTTTAGACCTTTAGATTTTAGATCTTTTTTGTTTTTGGCTTATTAAGAAGAAGAAGTATTTTAAAAAAACTTTTGAATTTTATAATCAGAAATTTACACATATTAAAAAGAAACTTAAGTCAAATTCAAAAATAGAAAAAAGAAATTACTTAAAAAAATAAATTGACAGTATAATGAATGTTAATGGAATCTGGAATTTTATAAATAGTAGGATAGCAAATTTACAATAATTTCATTTATTTAAATGGAGACTCAGTAAAAGAAAAAAAAAATGTAGCAAAAAATTTACTTTAAATTAAATTTAATTTAAATAATTTTTTTTTCCTATTTTAATGGCACTGGCAGAGCCAACAGGCCAGTCACATTATAGATTCGTTTTATCAACAATAATTACAAAAGTCGTTAATCATATTACTGTGTTAGTAAATGCCTAAAGAAGTACAATTTTTCGAAAAACTTCAAAACCACAGAACTGGGCTGCAAGAAAGAATGGAGCCAAGAATCCATCGCGCTTGCAATCGAAAGACATGCTATTCAGTGGCATATGGACGGTTCCAAAACCATAGAAGGAACTGAAATAGGAGTGTATGGGCCGATAACCAAGCACTCCGAAAGTTTTGGGAAATACCCAAGCATCTTCCAGGCGGAAATTCACGCCATCAAGAAGTTTAACATCGAGAGAAACTATCATAGACAACAGATTATCATCATGTCCGATAGTCAAGCAGCCATTAAAGCGCTGAGTTCTTACATAATCAGTTCAAAAATGGTCTGGAGATGCCTAGAAAAATTGAATGAGCTAGGCGAGAAAAATAGAGTTACCCTCACTTGGGTCCCGGCACATAACGGGGTACAGGGTAACGAGATTGCAGATAGTCTTGCAAAGAAAGGGGCTCAAACACCCTTTGTAGGAACTGAGCCGTTCTGCGGTATCAGCAGTAACATAATATTAGGAGAGATTAAAAAAGAATTGGGCAGTAGAAGAACCAATAATTGGAACAATCTCTTGGGGCTGAGACAGGCCAAGATACTTCTGGGTGAATATAACCAGAAAAGATCGGAAGCCTGCATCTGCCTGAGCCAGAAAAGGTTACGTATTGCAACAAGGATCCTTACCGGGCATTGTCGACTAAAAGGACACCTTAGTAAACTGAGAGTAGTAGAGGATAGTGAGTGCAGATTCTGTGAGGAGGAAGACGAAACCTCCATTCACATTCTAACTGAATGTGTAGCACTCCAGAATCCAAGGGCACTATATCTAGGAGGATATCAAACAGAAGAGCAAGATTTACCTAACTTAAAGCCACTCCAAATCCTACACTTCCTTGAGAAAATAGGATTGGAAGAGTCGTTATAGGCATTGAGACATTTCCTTGGTGCATTAGCAATAGAAGAGGGCACAATAAATGTTTTAGGGCGCAGTGTATTAACACCCCATTCCTAACATAAAACATAAATGCCAATTCGATTTTGTTTTGATATATTTTTTATTATTTTTTTTGTGTCTATTCGCTCCGTGCGCGACAGCAGCGCCAATTTGTTTTGGTATTAAAGGAGTATTTCTGCCTATACTGACAAATACAATTTTTAATAGAATTCGTAAATAAAAAGTATATATGTTAGTTTTAATAAAAGTATATGGATTTATGAAACAATTAAAACATTAATTTATTATTATTATATATTTTTCACGCTTAAATTAAAGAAAATTATATATAATCATTAAAAATCAATAATAAAATATAGGCAGGCAACAGTATTTACTGGAAAATGTATGAGAAGTTGCCTAAGTCTAATAAGTTGTCATTGAAGAAACCATTTATAATAGCGTGAAGTTAAAATGTATAAAAAGGATCGCTACTTATATTTTCATTTTTGTTCTAAAGAAAACATAAAATGAATGATTAAAACTGGTTTCTGATCAGTAAGTCACAAAATTGCATACCAGCCAAATATTATAATCAACGGCAGAAATCTTGAAATCTAGTCCTTGCTGAATGAACATTTAAGAATAAAGGGATATTAAAGAACATCGTAAAATTATAATTTATTGTTAATTTAAAAACTTTCTAGTTTCTAATGTCTACTATTTCCAGCATTACTGTTATTATCAAAAAATAAAGGTAATTTTTCTTCTTATTGTACACCTATCCATTTATTTCTTTGATTTAATTTCCACTTTGTTAGTGAAATTTGTTATATAAGTTTCACTGTTTTTTTTTGCTAGTATTTGTACAATTTTCAACACAGCAACTCCGGTTGCTTATTGTGTTGTTTTTACCTACTTTTTTGAAAAAAAGTAAAATGTATACGTGTATTTGATATGCCAAAATTACAAAATATCCCCCTAAAATGCACGAATTATCCGCAGCTAGCGCTAGTATCGCTTTTGCTTCCCTTTCCATGACTTCGCACGGAGCGAATACGTTTTTATCGATATTTATATTTTCTTCATAATTTGTATTCCATTTCGTTTTTAATTTCTTTTTCAATTTCTTTTTTAATTTTCTTTATATTTATTATTTTTTCTTTTAATTTATGTTTTCTTTTTTTAGGCCTACTAATATCTTTTAAGGGGTAGCTACTCACAGTTTTAAGTAAGTACTTTTAACATATTAATAAAATTCTACATTAAATAATTGTGATAATTTTGATTTGTGTTTAATTATCTGAAATAAATCAAAATTATTTTAACATAAGTTAAAGCCACAAAAAGCAGCGCAAATTGATAATACTCCACAGTACACTTTGAAAGGATGTAGTCACTTGGTAAAAATACCATCCATTGTAACATATTTATAATTTAGTATTTATGCAATTATTGTACTTTTGTACTGAGAAAATAGGATTGGAAGGGTCGTTATAGGCATTGAGACATTTCCTTAGTGCATTGGCGACAGAAGGGGGCACAATAGATCTTTTAGGTCGCAGTGTATTAATACCCCATTCTCAACATAACATAACATAGTAGTAATATACTCATATTTTCTGAAAGTGCAAGTTGAGCTCAAAGGGAAAAATTACAATTTCAAAATTACACTGATTTTAAGAAAACGTTGAATTAAATTCATCACGGCATAATATTACAAAAATTGCTAAATTTTGGACTCTCTATGGGTTTTGTTAGTTTGTTAAAAAACTATTTAGAAAATCGACTTCATATTGTAAGAATTCAGCGGAGACACTTAAGAAAAAAAAACATACAAATTCTTGTGTTGGAAGGTTTACTTTTTGCTTATGATTTTAAGCTTGTTAGATGAGTGGAAACTGTCAGAAATTATGTGTTGCTCAAGAAAAAATCAACAATATCGTAGCATAGTTATTTTTTATTATTTAAAAGTATTGCATACTTTCCGTTACCCGAAAACAACATTCGATAGTTTTTGATTATATAATGGATCGATAAATCTTGGAAAGACGTCTTAAAGTTACAGATATTGGAATGTGTTATAACAATTAAATGTCATACGTTTCAATTATTAAAAAAAAAATTGCTAGGTCTTATAAGACGAACATCCCAATTTACAAACTGTTGACCAAGTCAAATGGATCTCTTCTAGTATTAGGAGATAATATATTCAGTTTTATAAATTATGTATCTAACTTTAGAACATTGCAGATTGTCTAACATTTATAACTTATATCTGAAGATTAACTTACGAGGTCGAATGCGCTTGCAAGCTTTAAAAATGTTAAACAAAAAATATAATAAACATTTCAGTGGTTGTCACACATTTTATATTTCTCTCCATTCTTTGTAATCTACTTCCGATCACTTAGAGATTTAGCTAATATTTTATATATTATTTAAAAATACAAAAGTATAGAAATTTTACCTGTAATTTTCATGCCACGATGGTGAAATATTTTCAGCGACCTTGTTGTTCTGTGAATGCCGCGCCCATACAGCGCTCTGTTGCGGCGATATACTGTGTTGATTTGGAGACACTTGTGCCATATTGTACCCAAATTGATTACTACAATTTAACACTCCACTTTGATCTAAACTGGTCCCGTTGCTGTACGAGTTGTACAAAGTGTTCTGAGAAGTTGGAGCAGTTGTGGTGCTAGTAGAGCCGCTGACAGTACCAGTTGGCAAGGAACTAGCCAAAGTGGTTGTGCCTATAGCAGCTGAACTGTAAGATTGCGGTGCCCAACTGCTCTGGTTAAAGCCGCTTTCCGGGTAATGTTGTTGAACTCCAGGGAAGGCAGACTGCAGTGAGATAGCATTAAAAGCGTTAAGTTGTTGAGAATTTAATTGTTTTCTTAGTCTAGCTCTTCGGTTTGAGAACCAAACTTGAACTCTTGCTTCGGTTAATTTCGTTTTTTGCGCTAATTCTTCTCTGGTATATACGTCTGGGTACTGAGTACGGGCAAAAGCTCGTTCCAAAGCTTCTAATTGTTCGCCGGTAAAAGTGGTTCTTGATCGCCTTTGTTTACGCTTTAACGGAATTCCGGGTTCAGATTCGGTGTCACTTTCATCGCAGGAAGAGTTTGGACCTGAAATTAAAAAAAAAAAAAAATAAAGTCATATACATTTAAAAATAGAGCATAAAGAATAGAAAATAATGTAAGTTTTGCTGAACCCTTAAAAGAATTCCACAGAACCCTCAGGGTTTCACGGAACACAATTCAATGAGCGCTGATATACGACTAAGTATTGCAGTGAGCCGAATAATTGCCTAGTTCGATTCTGTTCACTTGATGAGAAAATCTGGGTAAATATCTTGATTGAATAAATTTTACGGTACAACAAAAACTATTTATTTTAAAACTCTCACTTAATGTTAGTTTCTTGAACCAGTAATTTCAGTTTTTACTAAAAAGATATTGATACGGTTTTGAGGAATATCAACCGTGATTTATCAATAACTTTAATGATTTTATGAAAAACCATGACGAATCTCCGTAGTGAGACCTCTATTAAATCTGTAAACTGACAGAACATTTTATTAATACGGACCTCACAGGGAGAGGATGACTATCGAAAAATTGACAGTCGAAAGTTTTACGATTCTGTGGGAATTCTAAAAAACGTTGGAATCCTGTTTTTCTGAAACCGTTGAATTAATTGTGTTTGTACGAATATTTTTAAGAAAATTTATGATCTGTGTAAAAATAATGGTCACTTTTTATAATAACGAAACTGGTAAGGTTTTTAAGAATTACAATACTCTTTTCGTGCGGATAATTATTACAATAGGTATTAATAACACATAGTTAAAATTTCAATGTATTACTTTGTCTACTAATAGCCGATTGGAACAACTTTCATTTAAATGTTTCATATAAATTTTGACAGAACTAGGAAATGGGATCTGTTTCTAATAAAGTTATGAGGGCTTTAGCCATTGAGAGACTTAACAAGTTTTCTTGCAATGGGGTCTAAGTCTAGAAAGCAGAAAAACGATAATTTTTCCTGTGCGCTAAATGTCGTCATTATTGATTTTACCTAGCAAAACTATATAATTCCTGTATTATTACAGCAGTTGTCAGATTTTATAATCAGTAGTAATACTATAAGTACTTCAAAATAATCAGGTTATACATCGATAACTTGTTGCATAATTATAAAGAGTGTCAGTTTGACAGTTTAAATAATCCGACCACGAAGCGGGAGGATTATTCTGTCAAACTGACACGATTTGTAATTATGCAGGAAGTTTGAGATGTATAATCGTATTTATTTTGAAGTACGTATTGTATTTGATACGATTATTTTTTGAGTAAATTAAGTAAATATCAACAATTTATTAATTTAAATACATATTGGTACAATGAAAATTACAATTACAAAACGTAAGAAATTGTTTCCATACGTACTTTTTTGTTTTCACTGTATTATGAGGCTCAGTATTTTGTATACTTTCATCTATAGCATTTAATGATACATCTCCGAATCGACTCATTTTAAAATAATTATTGATAAACGTCAAAATTTGACGGTCCTGTTAGTGTATTGTTGTCGATGTGGTTACTACGGAAATGAAATTATTGTAAATATTTTTGATTGGTATAGCTACTCTATGTATAATCAGGTATTATCGAAATTATACGAGGTAACTTAACTAAATTGAACGTTCTAATTGGTTAAAAGTTATACGAAAAAAATAATCGTTTTTAAACATATACGCTGTTATTTATTTTCCTTAGCAACAATCCAGAAAAAAAATATCACTTGAAATGGCAAAAATTAGTGCAGAATTACTGCTCAAAAACTTCTGCGGGAGATATAAATTATGAATTATCAATTTTACAATTCCATATACATGCTTGCATGACTTCCCGTGTTCGGCTCCGCCTCACATGGAAAATTGTCAAGCTCGCACGGGAAAAGCGTATTTTCTGGACTCTTAATGAATATATTATTTTTTTTTATATTTATTGATATACAAGAGTTTACAAAAGGTAGGAAGTTAAAAATTGGAATTTAGCTGCTCATCATAAATAAATAATAATGATGTGTAACAGTTTTTGAATTTTCACATTTTAAGATGGGATGGTAAATGATTATATGAAAGTATCGATTTTTTTAAAGGTAGAAACTTGAAAATTGAAATTGTAGTTACTCATCAAAAATAAATTAATAAAGATGTATTTCAGGGCTTTTGTATTTTCATATTATAAGGGGGAAGGGAAATGAAAAGTTTAAGTTCGTAAAAATAAATAAAAATAAATAAAACTAAATAAAAATAAATAAAAATAAATAAAAATAAATAAAAATAAATAAAAATAAATAAAAATAAATAAAAATAAATAAAAATAAATAAAAATAAATAAAAATAAATAAAAATAAATAAAAATAAATAAAAATAAATAAAAATAAATAAAAATAAATAAAAATAAATAAAAATAAATAAAAATAAATAAAAATAAATAAAAATAAATAAAAATAAATAAAAATAAATAAAAATAAATAAAAATAAATAAAAATAAATAAAAATAAATAAAAATAAATAAAAATAAATAAAAATAAATAAAAATAAATAAAAATAAATAAAAATAAATAAAAATAAATAAAAATAAATAAAAATAAATAAAAATAAATAAAAATAAATAAAAATAAATAAAAATAAATAAAAATAAATAAAAATAAATAAAAATAAATAAAAATAAATAAAAATAAATAAATAAAAATAAATAAAAATAAATAAAAATAAATAAAAATAAATAAAAATAAATAAAAATAAATAAAAATAAATAAAAATAAATAAAAATAAATAAAAATAAATAAAAATAAATAAAAATAAATAAAAATAAATAAAAATAAATAAAAATAAATAAAAATAAATAAAAATAAATAAAAATAAATAAAAATAAATAAAAATAAATAAAAATAAATAAAAATAAATGAAAATAAATAAAAATAAATAAAAATAAATAAAAATAAATAAAAATAAATAAAAATAAATAAAAATAAATAAAAATAAATAAAAATAAATAAAAATAAATAAAAATAAATAAAAATAAATAAAAATAAATAAAAATAAATAAAAATAAATAAAAATAAATAAAAATAAATAAAAATAAATAAAAATAAATAAAAATAAATAAAAATAAATAAAAATAAATAAAAATAAATAAAAATAAATAAAAATAAATACAAATAAATACAAATAAATGAAAATAAATAAAATATAATTATAAACAAAAATGTTACTTCTTACACACTGATATGAGGAATGAATAAAGACTATATCTCAATGTTCCGACACCTCGACGATTTAAAAGAGGCCTGTTTTTTTCAAGGACAGTTTCATGTATCCTATTAGAGATACGGGCGGCTCCAGGCTAAATTTTATTTGAACACGAAATTTGTTTCGTTGGGTCCTCTACCAGCGACGATCTTTGTTTTTTTGCTTTTTAACCACAATGATAAACATCAGACGCATGTTCAATCGACTAGATTTACTTTTGCACGGTAATAGTAGCATTTTGCATATAGCATTTTTTACAGACTAACTCATGAATTGTAACAGTACAATTTTTACCTCGGGGGAGGAGCGGGGGACACGGTCCCCTGAGAACCTCCACGAATCGCTGCACATATGGCCACCCTAAATAAATGACTCATTAATTCAGTAAAAATTTTATTCTTACCTCCACCTAAAACCGCTTTTGGTTAGAGAGTCAGTTCCGCAAGCAATTTGGTGATATTAGCAGATGAGAGTCATACCAGAAATGTGGTATACAAAAATATTTTTAATTAGATTACTATTTCTAAATATTAGATTAACCACTTACTTTAATATATATTACTATCACATACATAATATGAACCCCATAAACCCTATAAAACATATTATCTATCACTCCTTTTTTGGGCAGTTATTAATTTTTTTATTTAAACACCACTCCACTCATGCAAAGCGGCGTGCTAGTATGCTTATAAGGTTGCTTAGTCCCTTTTAAAAACTGAATAACATTTTTGAAGCCAGAGGGTGAACTTAAGATTTCTTTGATGTTTTTTGCACACAATGTTTTCTTCGCGAAGCTTGGTAAAATGAAAAGTCTATTAAAATTGATTAAATGTGATTCGAACACTGTAGCAGTGTTGACATAGGGGACGGTTTTTCGTAGCCATCAAATAAATTTGAGTGAAACGTGTATAGCCTATTCTTATTCTTCTTGTAATGATTTGACAAAATATCTTATTCAATCGTAGAACAAAGATTTACAAAAGTATGGTGATTAATTCTAGTTTACAAAGAACATTATTAATATAATTGTTAGTTTTTTATAAGGTTTCAGTATTTCCTTATTTAAAAATCTAAAAAAATGGTAATTTAAATAAAAATTGTACACCTCTATTTTGATAGCCGATCAAATGCTGTTATTTTAAAACATTTTCATGACAACCAGAAACATTTTCAAAAATTTTTCTCCTGGTTGGTACATGATGTCTATGGTTGGTACCCTAAACAAAATTACACTGGAAATGTTTTGACATTTGAGAAGCTCTTTCATTTACATGATATTAACAGGCGACACGACGGTGTGATTAAAAAAATAGCTATTTAAATAATTAATATTTTATTTAATTCCAATTATAACTATGTAGAAATGTACTATATTTATTTTAGGTAAAATAATAATTAGGTTTTTTTCGTCGTCCAAACGACTTCAAATATGCATAACTGGCATGGAAAACTTTGCAAATTTGATATTAGTTGTTTTAATGCATATCTGTCAATTTTTTGCACTTATAATTAAAGATTTTAGAAAATATTTATCATGACAGACAACTTTTTATTTTTTGTCAGTTGTTCGCTTTCGAAAATGAAGGTTATTTGTATATTTTTAGTTTTTTCTCAAAAAAGTCATCTCAGTGTCATCTATTGAATGAAACAATGTTTTGATTATTTTGTGCAGGTTTAAGATGGACAAGACAGTTTAAAATATCGAACGAACCATAATTATTGCTAATTTTAATTTCACTTTTTTATGGCCTGCCTTTCTTTGAATGTTCATTTTTGTTTATTTGTTTTCTTATCGTTCGCAACCAATTGCATATAATGTTTAAATTTATGTAACTGGTTACATAAACTAGATCACTTTGATACTTGCTCCGATTATAAAATAAGTCACGTCATATGTTTAAATTAGAAAAAGTTATTTTGACGAAATTTTTAATCGAATGCTTCTCCAGCTATATAATAATTTTAATAAATTCTATAGGTAAGTATTAGAACTTACCTAATATTCCGTCAATAGAATGGTTTTTTCTCTCAGAGTCATCTTTTCTTCCACCTCTTATCAGTCTACTAATTGAACTCACTGATGGAGCAGAATTTTTATCACAGGTTCCCTCCTGTAACAATAGAAGAACAAAAAATTATTATATATTATATTTCCAACAAATTCTTAAAAGTAGCTATCTTTCAAACACTTTTAAAATAGTAATTTGTAAGCGAATTGGATGGTAATTACTATTATATATCTGTTTTTAAATATTTTTGCCCTATTTTATAAGTTAGGTAGCTCTTTCATTGCATAAGTCATTTTAAATTCTAATAGGTAATGTCTTACAGAATAATTTATATACCTGTCACGACGGTTTTGAATCTTTGAACTGCAATCAACTAATTGCTTCACTTCAATGCGAAAAGGTGTGTCAAAGTTTAACGATATGCTTAAAATTTCACTTACGAAATTGAAATTTGATTGAATTCATTGATTGCAATAACCATTACAATGTTTTACATATGTCTTGAAAGTTTAGGTCTTTTTATGCCAAACATTTTTGTATTATGGAAACAGAAATATACGGAAAGATCTATGAATAATTTTCATAAATTATCTTTCTTATGATTTTATTAAAACCGCTTTTATGAAAAACCCCTCTCGTAAAAATTAAGAACCGACCTCAGAACTGTTAAAAATTATTTTGTTAAAGAAGAGTTTGTATAATGTTTTGCTGTTTAAAATACGAATACTTCAACTATGCAAGTAGTGATGAAGGAAGACACTTGCTCGAGTTTGAAGAAGACGTAAGTTTCTACGTTTGGAGAGAAAATTAACATTAGAAAAATTAGCTCTGTAAGATAATAGAGGTCGTTTTTGCACAGCTTTGGAAAAAACGAGCAATATAGGAAGAAGAAGAAGACTTGAGTGCAAATTAGAGGATGTTCTACAACAGAGTGGACATTAATTAGGATGATAAAAACTGACAAGTACTCTTAAACTTTAGGAATGAAAGCAGATGATTTAATATTTATTAGGATCTATTGTAAAATCGAATAGAATACTACTCTATTAATATAAATGGCCGTAAGATAGCACCACTTCTCTTCTTCTTCCATATGGCCTATGGCCCGGGGAGGTATTAAATGTGTTATAGTGCCCAACCACGCACACTAGCGGCAAAGTAATTTTATAATCTTTATCTAGCATGAGAGATACCGTTCTAAGAATGAGTGTTTTAAGATTTGATACATTAGTATTTGAAATAAATGAAGACAAATATGAGATTTTTCAAAATTTATTTAAACTAAATTTAGGCTTTCTGAAATAAAACGATTCAATGACATAACAAACAAAAAATATTAGGTAATATTAGATTTCGTTCTATTTGAATAAATGCACTTCGATCAATTTGCGTTACACCGGTATTAAATACTTACTTTTATAAGCCTGTCTCGAATTTCCCAACTAAAAATTCCCGGTTGTTCCTTCTTCCATTGCTCTATCCTGCTTTCCACTTCTTGCGTAGCGACTCGTGGTTTTGAGCCTCCGATTACGCCCGGTCGGATGCTACCAGTTTCTTGGTAGCGATTAAGAATTTTCGACACGCATCCGTGAGAAACGCGAAGTTGCCTCGAAATGACGCAAGGTCGTATTCCGGCTGCTGCCATTTCTACGATTTTCAGACGAATATGATTCGGTAATGGCCTGCCATTAATAAAGACGCCGCCTAGTTGGTTTACTCTTCCTTGACCTGAAACGAAAAAGGGAATTAAATTAAAATGAGATTAGCTAATTACTAGGAAACGGGGTTTCTGCATAAACGTTTTTATTTTTGTTTTGTTATGATGAGGGAATTTATTTGCTAAAATAGCACGGTGTGGCGGTTTATAAATTAAAAAGGCAACATATCATTGTTAACCTCTATTTCTTTGATTGCAATACCCATGTTTTCAGTAGTTATTGTTGAGTATATTGATTTTCATAATTTTTTATTTACCTTCAGAGCTTTAAATATCTAAGTTTTAAAAAATGCAATGCATTGCTTTTGGAGCTTATTTTATATATTTCAATTGGTGCAAAAATGAGGTAGGTTCCAAAATATTTCAAATATATAATAGAAATAGTCTTGTTACATGTAGTTATGTTCAGTAGTCATAAAAGTTTGCTTTTAGCAAAGGTTATCGCCCCCGCGTGCCGGAAATATTTTGGCGCCCTTTGAATATATGTAGTACTTATATAAATATTTTTAAAGAATAACAACTTTAAGCTGTTACATATGTTTTTTAAATTTTCTGGTTTGCTGTAATATTCTTTTATTCGTTTAACATTTGAGCGAATTGCGAAACCACATTTTATTTTAATTTTGTAATGAAACAACAGATATTTCAAAAACCAATATTTTATTCTTACAAACGAAAAAACAAACCAAACAGTAAACAAATAAAACAGTCAATTATCTGGAGTTGGCTGCTGCAAATTCTTTTATAATATTGTCAAAATCAATTTTATCGAGGATCTCTTGCTCTATAGCTAGGATTGCCAAACCCGATAATCTTTCTTGTGACATGGTAGACCTCAAATAATTTTTAATTATTTTTAATTTTAAGATGGATATCTTACCAGAAGCTACAGATACAGGTAAAGTAAGCAGGATTCTTAACGAAATGGTAATATTTGGTAGAGATGTAGAATGTTTTCAAATATATATTGTAAAAGGTCGAGGGGATTTGACGCTTCAGGTAATGATAACAATCTTAGGGCTTTTATTTCATTAAATAAATTATTTTCTTCTACGTCAGCCTCCTTCTTTTTTGATCAGTTAGCTTTTGCTGTAGAGCACAACAGCATTTTAAAAGATCCTCGTCACATAATTTAAAAATTTCACTAAAAAAACAAAAACGTTGTCGTAATTAGATATTATTTCAAATCTACTATTTAAAGAACTTAGTGTTTGATCAATTATTTTTAAAAAGAAATTTATTTTAAACGCTGTTTTTGGATCTTGTGTCTCATCTCTCTGTTCATAATCGAACAGTTTTGGTTTATACTTTCGTCTAACAGTATTTTATGGAGGAAAACCTTGCTCTATCTTAATAGCGGCTGCTAGTTCTCCAGCTTGAGCAAGTTTTTCCTCGAAAACATTATCATCTCTATAATTTTTAAAATTATCAACTAGATTCTTTAAATAGTTTTGGCACACTTTAATATCAGTCGTTGCACTTTGCATCATTTTGCTTACAATGCCAATCTGGAACAAAACATCATACCAAATTATTACACTGCAAATCAATTTAAAAGATTGGATACTTAAAAGCATAGAACTTGCTTTATACCTAGCTTCTATGTTAAAAGTATCATTTTCTGCTTTTTCTAGAAGGCTACAAATTTGAATTAAATGAAACTTTAGCGGCCTTATAGCATCTATCCTACTTGACCATCTAGTATCACTTATAGGTTTTAGATTTAACTTCGGGATATGCTTTTTTATAATATCCTACCTTTTTGTGGATAAAGAGAAAAATACATGAAGTTCTTGTACAATATTGAAAAAGTTAACACAAAATATAAAGCATTCCGTCGAATATTTATAACTATAACTTTGCGTCTTGGTTTTTGACCTTCACGTAGCCTAAGAAAATATTAACTATTTGGATTACGACGCCTCCTGCAGTTTTATTTATACTCGTGGTTTCGTGGTTCGTAGATGAGTTTTCAAGTCTGGACAGGAAAAATCGACAAGATCTAATATGACACTTACTCTTCGTACAATATTCGAGTCTGGACAGGAAAACGGTAGTTCATAGAGTATTCAAGTCTGGACAGGAAAAATCAACAAGATCTCATTTGAAACTTACTCGTCGTTCGTACAGTATTCGAGTCTGGACAGGAAAAATCGACAAGTTTATACTTTATACGGGTATTCATGGTATTGCATGCATACAGAATTACCTAACCTATTGATCTGATTATATTTTATAATTAACGCTAACTGAATAGCTATTTGATTTCAAAAATAGATATGTTTTCTGTCACAATAGGAATAGGTCATTATATCAACGAACATAAACTTCGATAATATTATTGATTATATTATCATGAATTATGATATAAACATTTTTGATTTCTTTAGTGTCTTAGAAAAATTAAAAATTGTATACAGACCTCCGATTTGGCACCTCTTTAGAAATGCGCCCGCGAGCGGTGCACCCGCAGTTGCGGGGGCCCTGTCATTTATAAAAAAAAACGTTTCTTGTGGCAAGAAAGAAGTAGCTGCAAAATTTCTTTTTCAGTTTCTCAAAAAACTGCAGGTATTTAAAATATTGTTTTTTCTATCAGTGTAGTTCAATTCAAAATGTTTACTGCTTTTACAAGAAAAACCAAAGAAAAAATCAATTTGAATTTTAAAACACTGTTTGTCCTTTCTGAAAAATTTCTAATAGTGCAACTGCCTCATTTTTGCTGCAATATCTTTAATTGAAGACCCTTTAAAGACAGAATAGGATAAGAGTTAACTATTCCTTTTGCTAATTTCTTCATAACTTACGAACTACACTGTATATTTTTCATATTCACTACATATATTCTTTGTCCACTACGGCTTTGAGTGTATAAATAAAAATTAAAATCCAGGTTCGCTAACAAATATTAACAAATTATTTTTAATTTTAAACCCCCTAATTATCAAAACATACATATTTGATTCAAATTAATTAGCAACAAAATTGAATGCGGAAATAAGTACCATCAAAGATATTTATTATAACTTGATTTTGTCTGCTTTTTTCAAATATACTCGTAAAATCAAATTTAAAAAATTCTGATGTAGGTACCAAATGGTATCTATTGTTTTAAAATGAATCAAAATCTTAATCTGATATTTGTCTTGCTACTTGTACTTTAGTGCTAACTTGTGCTTCTAATATTTTATTTATTTTTGATCAACTTATTTAATTGTTTTTTTTTACAACAACTATTTTATGTTTTCCAAAATTGCTATAACTATTTGAATTTTCAATTTCTAAATAGGTAATCTTAGAAAATATAAATTTTATCCTTATGTGATTATCTACTTCTTATATCTATCTTAAATAAACTTTTTATACTCACAAATTCGAATACAATGTATCCAATAAACCCGAACAAACTAAAATATCATAGCGAAATCGGGCCTTACAAGATTTAGCAAACAACGGATAAGATGAACATATTTCTATTATAAACAAGTTAAAACGTCTTCAGATATGAATAGATGAATCGATCATGTACCATTTAGTTTCCATAGACCAATCTTCTAAATGCTTGGCCAGTACAAAACCCATTGATGTTATTGAGGGTCTTTCGCACAACTAAACACTTTGAAAAGATGTATAAACATGCGCCGGTGGTCTTTTTTAAAGGCACTTTGAAGCCACTGAAGTGCTTCTACTATTTGATTATTTACACTCATTTGACTTTGAAGTATGGGAATTATTATAATAGATTGATATAAACTATTCAAGTGTTTAAAATATAAATTATATTGAGTTATGATCTATATATTTTGAAAGAAATAAGTGAAAAAGGAAAGAAAAATTAAATTAATAGATTTTAAATTTACTGGCGATAATCTATATCTACAATTTATATTAAAAAATTAAAAATATTTATTAGCAGAAATTTTAATAAAAAATATAAGGTACAAAGTATTTAATTGGTTACTTCACCTAGCAAATTTTTTTCTACTATAATAAAAATATACTATACTATAATAAAAATAGAAATAAATGAAATTTAAATTATAAAAGTTAATAAAATATACAATAATAATATAAAAAAATAGACACAGATATAATTTATAACAAGAGAATACAAGAAGTTATAGGTACTTTAGTTTGATAGTAATTAAATTAACAATTTTAATAACATTGAATAAGTAGACACATTGCAAATAGTTTGTAACTACTTTCAACTATGTATTTTTTGTGCATTTTGTGCAATATTATCTAATTGTGTTGGAATATAGTCATAAAAATAAACTATATGTAAAAGCTACCTATAGCTGAATGATAAAATAACAAAAAAAAATTTATTAAAGATATTAATTAAAGCTGTCTTCATATTGCAAAAAATCATCGAGTGTATAAAAAGCATTATTTACCAGGAATTCTTTAAGATAACTTTTAAATTGATCAATACTTCTACATGTCTTTATGACTTGAGGTAATTTGTTATAAATTCTTGGACCTAGTTAATTTGGCGAACACTAGGTTACTTTCCCCCTGGCTAGTGGCAAATAAAGAATATGGTTTTGTCTCGTTGGATAACTGTGATATATTCATTATTGTAGATAAATTTCTTTAAATTTTTACGTACGAAGACACACAGTTCAAAAATATAAATTGAAGTCACAGTTAAAATTTTTAATTTTTTAAAGTATTCCTTACACGATGTACGACTACGAATATTCTCCGTGTAGCGAATAATGTTTTTTTGCACTATGAAAACAGAGGATGCAGTGACATTACCTCAGAGACAGACACCATAACGTAACCTGGAGTCGACTTGTGCATAGTATAACGCTAATAGTTGCGTTTTTTAAAAGAACGTTTCTCAAATTAAGGAAAATAAACTTCAATGAGTTTAATTTAGAGATTAACTTCTCACAATGGTGTTTCCAGTTAAGATTTTCATCTAATAAAATGCCTAAAAATTTAACGCTAGTGTGGCTGTCCGTCAATAATGACTTATTAACTGAAAAATATATATTATTAA